GGTGTCTGCTGTGACTGGTGTCTGCTGTGACTGGTGTCTGCTGTGGGGCTACAAACGGTAAAGGTGTTAGAACCCTTCCTTTGGACTACTCAACCTCTATGTTGAAACTGAACTTTGATAAAGAATTAGACACATGTGTACCATCTGGATATCTTTATTTGTAGACGTTTCGCCCTTCAGTGGCTTTATTAATACAGGGACATAATTTGAAAACTGTACAACTATGTATATTCTTTACATTGTGTGCTTGTATTAATAAATGCACTGGAGGGCGAAACGTCTACAAATAAAGATATCCAGATGTTGCACATGTGTCTAATTGTTCATCTTGTCTGTAATGTATACCAAGGAGAGGTTGTAGACTCTGTTTACTACCTCTCCTTCTGTTACAACTCTGAATTCCCTTCTCCATGTGTTATCTGTTACACCTGGTGATCTTCCCTTACTTGTTGTTACACCTTGATCTCACTTGTCAGATGCACTTGTAAGGTCCATCTAGACCACACCTCCGTTTTGGTGCACTTGTAAGGTCCGTGTAGACCACACCTGCGTTTTGGTGCACTTGTAAGGTCCATGTAGACCACACCTGCGTTTTGGTGCACTTGTAAGGTCCATCTAGACCACACCTGCATTTTGGTGCACTTGTAAGGTCCATGTAGACCACACCTGCGTTTTGGTGCACTTGTAAGGTCCATGTAGACCACAACTGCATTTTGGTGCACTTGTAAGTTCCGTGTAGACCACACCTGCATTTTGGTGCACTTGTAAGGTCCATGTAGACCACACCTGCATTTTGGTGCACTTGTAAGTCCAATAGACCCCACCTGCATTTTGGTGCACTTGTATTCCGTGTAGACCACACCTGCATTTTGGTGCACTTGTAAGGTCCGTGTAGACCACACCTGCATTTTGGTGCACTTGTAAGGTCCATGTAGACCACACCTGCATTTTGGTGCACTTGTAAGGTCCATGTAGACCACAAACCCGCGTTTTTTTGGTTTTCTTCCCGAGTCTATGTTGTGTGGTGACGAAAAGTGTACTTGTGACAAGTATTAAAGTGCTGGCCCTCCATCATGATGATGTGTGTGTTTCTTTTAAACAGCATAATCTGACGTCCATAGCCCCCTGATGATGGTTTGTGTTACTGTAACAGCATTAATCTGACGTCTAGCACTGGATGTATGTTTTGTGTTACTTGTAACAGCAAATAATCTGACGTCACCACTCTGATGTGTGTTTGTGTTACTTGTAACAGCAGTAATCTGACGTCACAACACTGATGTGATGTTTGTGTTACTTGTAACAGCAGTAATCTGACGTCATAGCACTGATGTGATGTTTGTGTTACTTGTAACAGCAGTAATCTGACGTCACAACACTGATGTGATGTTTGTGTTACTTGTAACAGCAGTAATCTGACGTCACAACACTGATGTGATGTGTGTGTTACTTGTAACAGCAGTAATCTGACGTCACAACACTGATGTGATGTTTGTGTTACTTGTAACAGCGGTAATCTGACGTCACAACACCCGATGTGATGTTTGTGTTTCTTGTAACAGCATTAATCTGACGTCACAACCACGATTGATGTTTGTTTACTTGTAACAGCATAATCTGACGTCCACAAACTGATGTGATTTTGTGTTACTTGTAACAGCAGTAATCTGACGTCACAACACTGATGTGATGTGTGTGTTACTTGTAACAGCAGTAATCTGACGTCACAACACTGATGTGATGTGTGTGTTACTTGTAACAGCAGTAATCTGACGTCACAACACTGATGTGATGTTTGTGTTACTTCTAACAGAGTAATCTGACGTCACACCCCGATGTATGTTTGTGTTACTTGTAACAGCAGTTTAAACTGACGTCACAATACTGATGTGATGTTGTGTTACTTGTAACAGCAGTAATCGACTCACAATACTGATGTGATTTTGTGTTACTTGTAAAAAGCAGTAATCTGACGTCACAACACTGATGTGATGTTTGTGTTACTTGTAACAGCAGTAATCTGACGTCACAATACTGATGTGATGTTTGTGTTACTTGTAACAGCAGTAATCTGACGTCACAATACTGATGTGATGTTTGTGTTACTTGTAACAGCAGTAATCTGACGTCACAACACTGATGTGAATTTTTTTTACTTGTAAAAAGCATAATCTGACGTCACAATACGAAGTGATGTTTGTGTTACTGTAACAGCAGTAATCTGACGTCACAATACTGAAAGTGATGTTTGTGTTACTTGTAACAGCAGTAATCTGACGTCACAACACTGATGTGATGTTTGTGTTACTTGTAACAGAAGTAATCTGACGTCACAACACTGATGTGATGTTTGTGTTACTTGTAACAGCAGTAATCTGACGTCACAATACTGATGTGATGTTTGTGTTACTTGTAACAGCAGTAATCTGACGTTAAAACACTGATGTGATGTTTGTGTTACTTGGGAAAAGCGTAATCTGACGTCCACAACACTGATGTGATGTTTGTGTTACTTGTAACAGCAGTAATCTGACGTCATAGCACTTATGTGATGTTTGTGTTACTTGTAACAGCAGTAACCTGGTGTCACAACACTGTTATGATGTGTAATGTTTGTGTTACTTGTAACAGCAGTAACCTGGTGTCACAACACTGTTATGATGTGTAATGTTTGTGTTACTTGTAACAGCAGTAACCTGGTGTCACAACACTGTTATGATGTGTAATGTTTGTGTTACTTGTTTGTAAACATTGACCACATCCCCGCTGCCTTGTTTGTGAAGGAAGGGGGGGGGGGTTACGTCTGTGCATTTCTGAGGACTCATGACGTACATAGTCGTTATGCAGATTGTCGTGACGTAGGTAGTCCTTACTTAGGTAGTCGTGACATAGGTAGTCCTTACTTAGGTAGTCGTGACGTAGGTAGTCCTTACTTAAGTAGTCGTGACGTAGGTAGTCCTTAGGTAGTCGTGAGCTAGATGCTGATTAAACAGGGAAGCAATCAGGGGCCAGGCTAACAGTGGATAAAAATTCTAGAAATAGGTCACAGGTGGTAAGGTAGTGGTGTTGGTGGTGATGTAGGTGGTAGTGGGGTAGGGGTGGTGGAGGAAGGGGGGGGAAGCCATGCAGGTGGTACTGAGAATTAAGCAGGGAAGACTGCGTGAGCTGCCACTGCTGCAAGCGACTCTCGCCTTTGTAACTCCCTGACATAGCGTTACATATTGCTCATCCTCGCACACACCCCCTCATGTTTTCGGACCCCCCACGTCCCTCTACCCCTCTTTACCCCCTTCAACTCATCACTCCTTCCCCTCACTCAACACTCTCCCCGTCAAGCACCCACAACTTAGCCCTTCATAAAAACATAACAAGGAGCACTGTTGCAGGCCTACTGGCCCATACTAGGCAGGTCTTTCTCAAGCCCACTAGCAAAAGTATTTAACCAGCCTGTTTGCATTGCTAACCAAGGAATAAGCTGGATAACCCTGTAAACTTATGGGTGCGACTCCCACTCAAATCCAATCCCTCTCACTCATGTATTTATCCAACCTAAATTTGAAGGTACCCAAGGTTTTAGCTTCAGTAACCCTACTAGGCAGACTGTTCTACTCATTCACCACTATATTTCCAAGCCAATACTTACATCCCTCTCATTCCCCACTCCACTCACCCCTTGTCTTACACCCCCTCCCCTGCCACTGTGATGTACAGGTGAAAGGGGCAGTGAGACCCCTTACCCTCAACACACAGGTAATGAGTTGAAAGAATCAGTACACCGCCTCATAACACACTCCTCTGGACTCCACTTATAAGAATATAATAATGATGATAATAATAATGATGATAGTAATAATAATGATGATAATAATAATGATGATAGTAATAATAATGATGATAGTAATATTTATTTCTACAAGTACATGTACAAGGTATACAGACCATAACTGACATGTTATGCAGAGCATTTCGGGCAAATTAGGTTAATTTTGTCCCCAGGATGAGACCCACACCAGCTGACTAACACCCAGGTACCTATTTTACTGCTAGGTGAATAGAGACAACAGGTGTCTTATGGAAACACGTCTTAATATTTCCACCCGTACCAGAGATCGACCCTCCCTGGACCTGAGCGTATTAGTCGAGTGCGCTACCAATTGAGCCACGGAATCTTAACCTTGCAACATACAAATCAACCTGAGACAAAGCATATTAATACTTATACAGCAGTATGCTTAGTGAAAGAGAGAGGGATTGAATACTAAGATAACTTGAGGAGAATACAAGAATATTTGGGTCGGAGAATATTGTAAACTGAACGTAAATGAGTATTAAGCATCTCATGGGATGCAGTGACTCCCGCCTGGTAATCACAGAAGCAGACTTACGCAGGCGTAAGTTACTTGAGTTATATTTAATCCCAATTTCAGACACGATTAAACAAAATAAAGTTAGCTTCGTTTATCAGAGGTATTGATCACAATTCTACTCAGAACAATAAACCCAATTATCACAGTAACGACCATTAGTTAACTCCACTTATACTTCTACTGCTGTAACTACTACTATTACTCTAACTGCTACTACTACTACTTATGTAACTACTACTACTACTACTACTACTGCTATAACTACTATTATTATTACTACTGATGTAACTACAACTATTACTATTATTACTACTTCTCCTATCTATCTATCTTTCACCTGACATGGTTGCTGTGTATATACCCACAGTGTCCTTGTAATGTTAATAACATCAATAATCACCTGCTTCACCGCTGCCATATACGACATAACAGACTCAGATGAAAACATTCACAATTACTGTGACGACCTTCGTCAACATGAACATTATTCGTTTACCTGCAAATTTACCCTACCACCCAACACAGGTCCCAGAGATATAACATAGAGGAGGAATGCTTTAACAGGTCTGTTGGCCCATACTTGGCAGGTATTTCTCAAATCCAACCCACTGTTGAGTATAAATTGTTTTGCAGTGGAGCTAATGGGTACTGCAGCAAGACCTTGATCGCGGCCACAGAAGAGCTGAATTAGATGGGCATCTCTTCGAGATCCTCAGACGGGTCATCTTAGGATTAAGACCCGTGTCAGGACGCAGTTCCTGACGATTCAAACTTCTAATGATGAAGAATTAGACACATGCTTCACATCTGGGCATCTTTATTGTAGACGTTTCGCCATCCAGTGGCTTTATCAATAACAAATTCAAGGATATAATTGGAAGACAGAACTACATACAGAAGATGAGGTAATCAGTCCCTCAGTCTAAGAGTTATTGAAGAGTACCATTTATAACGTTTGTAATGTTTATAACGGCTTGACAAAACTCCTGGAGAGCGAAACGTTGCTGCAATAAAATGTCACATTAGTTTCATATGTGTTTATTTACCTTACAGAGATAAAATCTTTAAAAGTACAGCCTTTCCTGGTAGTATGGAAAAAAATGACTCTTATGTACAGTTCAGGAGACTTTTAAAAGACAACGTTTAGCCACGAGTGTCTTCTTCAGTCCTAATACAGAGATAACTAAGACACCATTTAGCTTCAGGTCACAGGTCCCAGGAGCTCACACTAGATGGCCTCGGCTATGCCCTCGCTAGTCTCCATCTCTGTGCCCGGGCAAAGCTCTTCATGCCCACACAGGAAGTATTTCTTCAGTTATGGAGTTGCTAGGAAGTGGAACAGTCTGGAGAGTGATGTAGTTTACCTGGAGAGAGTTCCGGGGGTCAATGCCCCCGCGGTCCGGTCTGTGACCAGGCCTCAGTGGACATAACTTTAAGGAGAGGTATGATTAAGCTCATAGAGCAGAGAGAGAGTGGACCTAATAGCGACCAGCAAAGAGGCGGGGCCGGGAGCTGTGAATCGATCACTGCAAATAGTTAAGCACACACACACACACACCTTAATAATAATAATAATAATAATAATAATAATAATAATATCTTTATTTCTACCAGTACATGTGCAAGGTATACAGATCATAGTTGACATCAATGACATACTACTATATAGAAAGCCCCTTGTTATGCTGAACATTTCCCGCAAATTAGGTCAGTTTTGCCCCACAATGCGACCCACACCAGTCCACTAACACCTAGGTACCCATTTTACTGACGGGTGAACATAGACAACCGGTGTAAGGAAACACGCCCAGTGTTTCTACTCTCGCCAGGAATCGAACTCGGACCCTCACCGTGTGAAGCGAGAGCTTTTGCCACCAGGCCACAGGGCACCTTCTGATTGAAGGTCACCTCTCAGGGGAACAGCATTCATCACAAGGTTCGGAGCTTCCTGATAGAACCAGGGTGTGTAAAGAGTAGCAGGCAAGACTCCCATCTTGGTAAAGACAGAAACAGGACCCCTGGTCTCAAGTCACATTCTCACAAACCTGATATTGGAGAGGCAGTGTCACGATGTCACAGCACTGTAGATTGATTCGCCTCACCCACACACTCACACTTGCAGGAAATCCTGCTACTCTCTATGCCTCTCGTGCCTCTCACCTGCTGACTGCTGTCGACTGCTGCACATGTGTATAGTTCACCAGGTGTCGAGGGAAGATTTCACTGACTGTATGAGAGTGACATCCATTGAAGACACAGCAACCTTTCAGATTGATATAAATAGTCTTCCAGTGGACCATTGACAATAGTATGCTGTTCACTGAAGACAAGATGAATTAGACACATGTGCAACATCTGGGTATGGTTATTGTAGACGTTTCGCCATCCATTGGGTTTATTAATGCAAATTCAAGGACATAATTAGAAGGTAGTAGAACTGTATACGAAAGATTAAGTTATAAGTTCCTCAGTGAAGAGTATCGTAGTCTTCATTCATAGGATAACTCCACAGTGTTCTTAACTACTACTAACCCGTCCCTCGGGTATGACCTGGATAACTCCACAGTGTTCTTAACTACTACTAACCCGTCCCTCGGGTATGACCTGGATAACTCCACAGTGTTCTTAACTACTACTAACCCGTCCCTCGGGTATGACCTGGATAACTCCACAGTGTTCTTAACTACTACTAACCCGTCCCTCGGGTATAACCTGGATAACTCCACAGTGTTCTTAACTACTACTAACCTGTCCCTCGGGGGCATCCCCCCCTACCAGTGACAATGTCTTCGTCTGCTTCGTCCCTCACGTGACGCCAGTATATAAGCACCAGTCTTCATGCCTGTCCTCGAGACTCTCCAAGACTAGGGTGCTCTTCACAACTCCAAGACTGAGGGACTGATTACCTCATCTTCAGTATATCTTTCTACTGTCTAATTATGTCCTTGAATTTGTATTGATAAAGCTTGGTGGGAGACTGTTGAACAGTCTTGGGCCCCGGACACTTATGGTGTTTTCTCATTGGTACACTAAGAGAAAACACAATAAGTGTCCGGGGCCCAAGACTGTTCAACAGCCTCCCACCAAGCATAAGGGGAATTACCAATAGGCCCCTGGCTTCAAGAGGGAGCTGAACAGATACCTAAAGTCAGTGTTGGATCAGCCGGGCTGTGGTTCGTACGTTGGACTACGTGCGGCCAGCAGTAACAGCCTGGTTGATCAGGCCCTGATCCACCGGGAGGCCTGGTCGTGGACCGGGCCGCGGGGGCGTTGATCCCCGGAATACCCTCCAGGTAGGTAGGTAGGTAGACGGTGCAACGTCTACAGTAAAGATAGCCAGATGTTACGTGTGTAATTCTTCATCTTGTCGGTATCGTCTACCATTCATGTACATCAGGACAATTTTCAGTTACTCCAGTATGGAAAGATTGTGGTAATAAATACTGGAATGGAGTGTTTAACAATCTCAAAGTACTCAGTAGAGACTAATGTGAGAGACCTGGGAGTGATCATGTCGGAGGATCTCACCGTCAAGGATCACAACAGTGTCATGGAGGTCAGGTGGTGGGGTCAGGTGGTAGGGGGTCAGGTGGTGAGGGTCAGGTGGTGGTGGGGTCAGGTGGTGGGGAGTCAGGTGGTGAGGGTCAGATGGTGGAGGTCAGGTGGTGGAAATCTTAGTTCTGGTGTGAGAATTTAAGAGTCACATTAAAAATCGATTACCTTGATGTGACTCTCCACCCTGACTATACTTGATGTGACTCTCCACCCTGACTATACTTGATGTGACTCTCCACCCTGACTATACTTGATGTGACTCTCCACCCTGACCATACTTGATTGACTCTCCACCTGACTATACTTGATGTGACTCTCCACCCTGACTATACTTGATGTGACTCTCCACCCTGACTATACTTGATGTGACTCTCAACCTTGACTATACTTGATGTGACTCTCCACCTTGACTATACTTGATGTGACTCCACCCTAACTATACTTGATGTGACTCCACCCTGACTATACTTGATCTGACTCTCCACCTTGACTATACTTGATGTGACTCTCCACCTTGACTATACTTGATGTGACTCTCCACCCTGACTATACTTGATGTGACTCTCCACCCTGACTATACTTGATGTGACTCTCCACCTTGACTATACATGATGTGACTCTCCACCCTGACTATACTTGATGTGACTCTCCACCCTGACTATACTTGATGTGACTCTCCACCCTGACTATACTTGATGTGACTCTCCACCCTGACTATACTTGATGTGACCACCCTGACTATACTTGATGTGAATCCACCCTGACTATACTTGATGTGACTCTCCACCCTGACTATACTTGATGTGACTCTCCACCTGACTATACTTGAATTGACTCGCCACCTTGACTATACTTGATGTGACCTCCACCTGACTATACTTATTGTGACTCCACCCTGACTATACTTGATGTGACTCTCCACCCTGACTATACTTGATGTGACTCTCCACCCTGACTATACTTGATGTGACTCCACCCTGACTATACTTGATGTGACTCTCCACCCTGACTATACTTGATGTGACTCTCCACCCTGACTATACTTGATGTGACTCTCCACCCTGACTATACTTGATGTGACTCTCCACCCTGACTATACTTGATGTGACTCTCCACCCTGACTATACTTGATGTGGACTCTCCACCCTGACTATACTTGATGTGACTCTCCACCCTGACTATACTTGATGTGACTCTCCACCTTGACTATACTTGATGTGACTCCACCCTGACTATACTTGATGTGACTCTCCATCCTGACTATACTTGATGTGACTCTCCACCTTGACTATACTTGATGTGACTCTCCACCTTGACTATACTTGATGTGACTCCACCTTGACTATACTTGATGAGACTCTCCACCCTGACTATACTTGATGTGACTCTCCACCCTGACTATACTTGATGTGACTCTCCACCTTGACTATACTTGATGTGACTCCACCCTGACTATACTTGATGTGACTCTCCACCCTGACTATACTTGATGTGACTCTCCACCTTGACTATACTTGATGTGACTCCACCCTGACTATAAGAGATAAGATAAGATAAGATTTCGTTCGGATTTTTAACCCCGGAGGGTTAGCCACCCAGGATAACCCAAGAAAGTCAGTGCGTCATCGAGGACTGTCTAACTTATTTCCATTGGGGTCCTTAATCTTGTCCCCCAGGATGCGACCCACACCAGTCGACTAACACCCAGGTACCTATTTGTTGCTAGGTGAACAGGACAATAGGTGTAAGGAAACGTGTCGGAATTTCCACCCGCCGGGAATCGAACCCGGGCCCTCCGTGTGTGAAGCGGGAGCTTTAGCCACTAGACCACCGGGCCACTCTATACTTGATGTGACTCTCCACCCTGACTATACTTGATGTGACTCCCCACCCTGACTATACTTGATGTGACTCTCCACCTTGACTATACTTGATGTGACTCCACCCTGACTATACTTGATGTGACTCTCCACCCTGACTATACTTGATGTGACTCTCCACCTTGACTATACTTGATGTGACTCCACCCTGACTATACTTGATGTGACTCTCCACCCTGACTATACTTGATGTGACTCTACCCTGACTATACTTGATGTGACTCTCCACCCTGACTATACTTGATGTGACTCTCCACCCTGACTATACTTGATGTGACTCTCCACCTTGACTATACTTGATGTGACTCCACCCTGACTATACTTGATGTGACTCCTCCACCTGACTATACTTGATGTGACTCTCCACCTTGACTATACTTGATGTGACTCCCACCCTGACTATACTTAATGTGACTCTCCACCTTGACTATACTTGATGTGACTCTCCACCTTGACTATACTTGATGTGACTCCACCCTGACTATACTTGATGTGACTCTCCACCCTGACTATACTTGATGTGACTCTCCACCCTGACTATACTTGATGTGACTCCACCCTGACTATACTTGATGTGACTCTCCACCCTGACTA